GAGGGAAACTCTAAAATTGTGAGCCAAAGGACTAGAGAGGTGGCTCAGCTGATAGGAGCACTTACTGTTTTTGCAAAGGACCAAAGCCTGATTCCTAGGACCTGTAAGTCCAGTTCCACGTAATCTATCGCCCTCTTCTGGCCTCCATGGGGAGCTGTGTGCATGCACACATACACACATACATACATACACACATACATACATACATACATACACACACACATACATACATACATACACACACACATACATACATACATACATACACACTCATACATATATACATGTTTGTGTAGATATTTGTATATATTTTTGTGTGGGTATTTGTATATATTTTTTGTATTTTGTTTATTTGGATATATATGTGTGTATGTATGTTCATACATACCTGTATGTACACACAAACATGAATACACACATAATAAAATTAATCAGGCCAAAATAAACTTCTCTCTGTATAAGTTCATCGTATCAGGTATTTTCTTATAGTGAAAGTTATCTAGTGGCCTATATCCTCTATTGTTCAAGTTTTAGCTTTTTTTCCTTTTCTAAAATACTTTGTTTCTTTCTGCCTTGCGTTTTTCCCAGGCTGACATCAGCTCCCACCATTATTAGCACCCACTGGTCTGAAACTCTTGCTACTAAAATTCTGCACATCCTGCAAGATACAGTTCAAATTTTATCAACTCTATAAAGTCTCACCTACCATTTTGAAGAAAAATTATAAAACACTCATTTATTTTTTAACTTTTACTTTATGTGTGTAGGTGTTTTGCCTAGATGGATGTCTGTACACCACATGTGTGCTACAGGGTGAAAAGAAGGTGCTGGACCCTTTCCAACTGGAGTTATAGGCAATTGTGAGCTGCCACTTGGGTGCTGGGAACTAAACCCATATCCTCAGAGAGAGCAGCCAGTGCCCTGAACCACTGAGTCATCTCCCCAGAGACAAGACATAGTTAAACACATACATCTCTTACATACTTTCTCAACAGTTGTATGCTATACAGTTAGGTAGTCTTGGGAGATACAAAGATAAGCAAGTTGCAGTTCTTCCATAACGTAGTGAAATATCCATCCTCAACAGGACAGAGGAAACAATGGGATACAAACTGGAAGAGGTCTGTGAAAGTTAAAGGATTCTCACACCGACAGCTCCCTTAGAGAGAAAGTAATTTAAGGTAATTTTCTCTACATAAAGTTACTGACCATCTGTGCCAAGTACCTGACTGCTATTCTGGCCTCCCACCTGTTGAGGACCTTGTGTTCAACTGCCTTGTACTGGTTAGCAAAAACTGACCCAACTAGATCCCCCCCCAATAATTCCTTTGGAGGACTCACAAATGGTCTCCTAAACCCAAGCAACACCCTATCTGGATGCTGTGTCCTCAGGGCAGAAGCGTTCACCAAGGAAGCAATGAGATTCCTTAGGCTAACACCTCGGAACAGCACCTCTTTGTCCTTAAGAAGAAGCAAGGCCCTTTCTCCAAGGTACTTCAGGCAAAATGAAATGGACTGGCCTACCAAGAATGGCGGAGTACCGGGCCTGCAATCTTAGCACTTGGGAGACTGAAGGAGGAAGATCATGAGTTCAATTCCAGGCTGTACTACATTGGGGCAGGGGTGGGAGGGAACATGAGATTATGAGCAAATAATCACACAGAGTGACCACAACTGGGCCACAGCTTCATAAAGAGCAGGTATGGACTCTCTACAAGGTTGTCACTGACTGTGAGGCTCGTGAAATTCAGCAGGAGGTCCTCAAACATTTGACAACAGTGACAGGTCTCCAGGGGCTTGAAGACAAAAAGTTAATTCAGAGTCAAATGAGCAGCCCAGCATACTGGCCTACAATGTCCTCTTCTGGCCTTCAAAAGCATCAAGCATGCAAGTGGTGCACACATACATGCAGGCAAAACACCCATGCATGTAAAATAAAAATCCTTTTAACTTTTGAAAGTTTAAGAAGCCACCTAAATTCAGCCACCATAGAAGGAATAAAGTACTAGGCTTCAGCTGGGTCCAGTATTAAAGCAAGTTTGTATCTCCTGGGTGTGGTGACATAGCCTTTAACTCCAGAACTCTGGAGGGAGGCAGTACAAGTGGGGGGGTTGTGAGTTCCAGGACTTCATAGACTCTGTCAAAAAAAAAACAAAAATAAAACAAAACAACAACAAAACAAAAACCAAGGCAGATCAAGTAAGCAAGTAAGTTTCTAGGGTGACATCTTACACATGAGACAAAGAGACCCCTGGGAGACTGGCTGACTTGATCAAGACTCTCTGGCAGTTAATAGTAGAAGCTGCAGGTTTCCAGGCTCCCGGGTTTCTGTGAATTAATTTTTTGGTCTTCATGCATTCAGAAACTGTTCATTATTAACAAATGTTTCAGGATCCCCACATTCAATTACATAACCCCATAGAGGTTTGCTACCCACAGTTAAAGCTGTGACCCAATTGTTGGTCACTCTATGTGGTCATTTGTTAACATTCTCATAACCACCGTGAGAGCCTTGGACTTTACCTCTCAGGCTAGCGGGGCTTGTTCTAAAATATTTGCTGACTTTGGTTGCTTTAGATTTATTTATTTTATGTGCATGAATGTTTTGCCTGCATGTGGGTATATGTACCATGTGCACACCTGGTATCTTTGGAGGTAGGAAGATAGTATCAGATCTCCTGGAACTGGAGTTATAGACAATTGTGAGCCACCATGTGGGTGCTGGGAACTAAACCCAGGTCCTGGAAAAGTGCAGACAGTGCTCTTAATTCCCAAGCCATCTCTCTAGCCCTGGCCCCTCCTTTTTTTAAATAAAGAAGAGTTGGAGTTAATAAAGATATTTAATATTGGCTTAAACTCAAAGGTTAGGAGAGGGATAGATGCTTAGGAAAAAGCAAAGCACACCTGAGAGCGTGTCTGTGGGCTTCTCCAAAGAAAAGCTGAAGAAAGTAAGAACCAAGTGTGGGTGTGCCTCTTCAGTGGAGAGGTGCCTTTGCTTTTCTTTTTTAATCCAGGACTTTGCAGCAGAGCTAACCACCACAGGCCACAGATGACCTTTGCACACATCTCTACAGTCTTACTCTTGCCAGGTGTTTTCCCTTACCAACTTCCCTCCAGATCATAAAACCAGTTCCACGTATGGGCTCACCCCAGCAAAGGGATGTGTTGGAAGGGGGAGGAATTCCTCCTTGGAAGAAGCACCAAAAGGAACGATAGCAAAGGAGCTGGGGCAGATGCCAGAGCTGTTCCCTGCAGTAAGGGTAATGGGTGGACTTCCCCCTTTGAAGAACTGAATCCAGGTCGGGGGATCCAGGTAATTCTTTTGAGAGGCAATCCCAAGACTTTGGAGACCTCAGAACACAGCTGAGTTAGCAGGAGGAGAAGAAAATTAGATTCAGGGAACCAGCGTCCTCAAATGTTAAGAGTAAGTGCTCACCCAGGGCAGTCCCCAGGGTAAATTCAGTTTTTACACACTAAGAAGGATGTATCCCAATGGTTCCATCTCTTCTCACACCCTACAGACCATGCAGGCTGAGGGGAGGGTAGAGGAAGTGTTAAGATCTCAGTCAGTGACTTAGGGCTTCTCTTGCCGCAAATTAATGCACCACGAGGAAAGCTCAGGGAAGAATGGGTTTATTCTTGCACTTTCCACATCTCTGTTCACCACTGAAGGAAGCCAGTTCAGGAACTCAAGCAGGGCAGAAACCTGAAGGTCGGTGCTGATGGCAAGGCCATGGAGGCATTTTTTTTCAATTAATACTCCCTTCTCTCAAATAACTATAGCAGTCAGGGAGCTGGGGAAAGAGGGTCAGTGATTAAGAGTAAGAACAAAACTTCAGTTCCCAGGTTGCTCCCCAGAACCCTAGGAGACCCCTGACCTCCTGCACATGCGCACAGATATGTGCATACATATGCATGCATATACAAAATAAAAAAGTAAGTCATAAAATAAATAACAAACGACAACAACAAAAAGATCTCCGGCACAGGTCCAGGTCTTGCAGGTTCCTGCTTGGAGGTGGCACAGAGGCAATTCTGAAAGGCAATACATCTTCTTTGCCACATGGGGGCTCCACACCAGGCTTCTGGAGAAATTTTACATTTTGACTTTTTTCTTCCTTCCCTTGTTGTTACAAAACAAAAATATGAATTGAAAAAAATTAGGAAATGCCCCCAAACAGTCTGTGGTCTATTAGCATAAAGCTACCGACACTGCGTCAATGTACATGCTTCCAAGCCTACCTAAATTTTGACCTTTTATATGAACATGAATAATACACATAACATACATCCTGTTATATACACATTTTAACGCCAAAATGGAATAGTTCCGGACTACTCTCGTTATATCAACACCTTTCCATGTTTGCCTGGTACCCAGGTATATCCCAAGAGGGCATTGGATATGCAGAAACTATTTACAGCCTGTTGTGAGACACTGGGAACTGAAACCCAGCCCTCTCCAAGAACAGCAAGTGCTTTTAGCCGCTGAGCTATACCTCCAGCTCTGTTCAAAAAAAAAAAAAAAAATTAAATGATGTTATTTTAGCCCATTTTTCATGTCATTAAAATGTTTATTATAATACACATTATAGAAAAATCCCACATTTTTCATGTCACTGAAATGTTTATTATAACACACAGATAATCCTACAGAGAGCCTACTGTGACTGTTGCTGGAAGTAGTCATTCCATTTCAAGACAAAGACAGGCGTGCTACAGCTGGCCAGCTGAGGAAGTGGCCGTGCCAGGGGTGCGCACTGCCTGCCGAGGCCGTACCCCTAAGTTTTATACCGCCAAACCAGGTGGCCACTACTGCGTTGCACACTTCTGGTGAGCACAGACGCCGCAGGGGGCGTGGCGACACGAGGGGCGTGGTCGGGCCGAGGCGGAGCCTCGTGAGGAGGGCGGGGCCAGGCGCGGCGGCAGGCGGGTGCCGGGGCTGCCGTTCGCCGCTCGAGCTGCAGGTGGAGCTGTGCCGCCGCGCTGCCTCCAGGAAGCCTCACGGGCCTTCGTCGGCCTGGCCGCGGCGCCGGCTCCCAGGATGCAGTGTGGAGCGGCCGGGCGCTGACGGCGGCGGTGCGGCTGCGGGCGGAGCGGCAGCAGGCCGGCCTGCGAGGAGCGCGGCGGGGAAGGTAGCGGCGGGCCCGGGCGGCGCTGCCGGCGGAGAGGACCCGGCGGCCGGGCCTGCGTGGGGCCGCGCGCCGCGGCGTCGACTTCCTCCGCGCCGGGCAGGACAGCGCAGGGCCATGGCCGAGGCGGCCGCGGCTCCGGTAAGGGCGGCCCGCGCGCTTGGCCCGCGCGGCCTCGGGCCCCGGAAGGCCGGGGCCCAGCACACTGTGCTGCAGGCCCCAGGAGGGCTTCCGGGCCAGACCGGGCCTGCGGGTCCTGTGGCTGCGGCGAGCGGCCGCGAGGTCCGCCGGGGCCTACCGGACCGGGTGGAGCCGAGCGCAGGGAACGGCCGTCCGAGCCCAGGAGGCCGACCCGCGCCAAGTTCCCGGTCTGCGCGCCCCCGGGCCGGGCTCCTTCCTCAGCTCCGGGCCGGTGCTTCCCTCCCCCAGCTCCCCCCAGCGGCCTGGTGGCACCTGGGAGGTGTCCGACGTCGATTCCATAGACAGTGAGCACCCACTGTGTGCCCAACCCTCCCCGGGCGGCACGCGAGGACTGCTTGTATTTGTCCAGCCAGGCTAGCGCTGCACTCAGCCCGGTTTAGGCAGGATTTTTGTCTGCACTACAAACCCGTGGGGTAGTAACTATTATAGTTATTATTTCGTACAAAAGAAAAGCTGAAGGCCCAACGAAGTTAACTTGCCAAGAATCTCAGCGAGAAAAGTGGGAAGACAGTGCTCACAGTCCGATGACTGTAATAAGGAAAGCAGTCCAGGTACACGAGTAGCCATATGGTCGAACAGAAAGAGGTCGTAGCAACCTGGTGGAAACGAGGTTCGAATGCAGGTGCTTAGCAGACTCTGGTGCTTCTCCTGCCTGGCCAGGTAATCTGTGCTTCTGTGAGTTGAGTTAGCTAGGGTTTCTACGGCTTGGGCAACGAGAGGCAAAGGTCCAGACACAAGATAGTGCAAGACTGGTCCACAAGCCTGGAGATACGGTTTTGGATAGGAGAGTGCAGAGTTGGAAGGGGCTGGGACGGCCTGGACTTTGTCATGTGGGTAAGAAAGAGTTGAAGGATTTGGCATCCTCTTAGACCAGGGGCTCCTCTCTAGCTCAGAGTTTTGGTTTCCCTGGCTGTTTGTCATTTGGCTATCTCACCTTCCCTTTAAATTAGCAAGGGGCTAGGGTTCAGCAGAGCACTACCCGTACTTCCAACTAGACAGTTCAAAGACCCATGGACCCTATTAAAAAAAGACGTTAAACAAGAATGACATCAACAAGATAGATGTTTGCAGATGTCTTTTTGTGTAACACAGAGATTGCAGCAAAGGAAATGGGTGGCAAAGTACAAGGATACATCTGAAATCCTCTTAGAGTCTGGGGTAATCCCAGTCAGGGCTGGTGCTAAAGAGTTAGAGACCAGAGGTGTCCTCCAGACACCAGAGGTGTTCCCGCTAACAGTTCTGCCATCTTCTGAGACTCACTGAACGTCCCCAGTCAGACCCAGTGTCCGTCCTCTGTACAGCTTGAGAAACTCTTGAGCACCACCCAGGCAAGATTTCCGCCCCTGGTCAAGCTCTCTTGACCCCATTTTCTCATGTCTTCCCACTTGCTGGTTGTCAACAACACAGATGAGGCCACACTAGTTTCTAGAACTTGTTTTTTTGCAAATAGTCACCAACCTTTTTTGTTCAAGAATATTCTAGAATATAAGAAACATCTTTCTTCAGGCACTAACCAGAAAGGGTGCCCATGCCAGGATCACCAATCTATCCTGAGAGTTGCACCTCAGATATACATGGAGGAACTCCTCCCCTCCCGACCCACGTGTGTCCTTTATCCCCCATGGGTAGTCACTAAGGTCTCTGCCACTCCCAACGACAGGGACGCATCAGTCTTGTGATTGTTGTCGCACACGTGAAAAGAATGACTGTCTACCTGCCCTCCTCACTAGTTCATCCCTGATCTCAGGACAACTCATGTCTGAGAATGAGTCTTACCTTACAGGAAGTTCAGGTGGTATAAAGAGTCCAGCTCTTCATACCAGGCATAGTAACTCACTTGTCACCCCAGAACTTGGGTAGTGAAGGCAGGAGAAATCAAGGGTTCAAGGCCATCCTATGCTACCTAGCAAGTTCTATGTCAGCCAAGGCTATGTGAGACTTCACAAAAGCAAGCAAAATATTCAGTTCTTCAATTGGTTAAAATTGGCAGTAATGGTAATTTTAGCTCATGAGGGTGGAGCAATTAAAGGACCAAATCAGACTGTCCTAGAAGGGGAGCTAGCCATTGAGCTAAGTGGGAACATGAGATGCTTTTTTAAAAAGCAGTTGAGTAACCCCCTCGTTTGTGCCTCTCAGTCGAAGCTGCTGGGTTTTTGCTGGGTCATCATCATGCAGTTCCTGTGCGATTGTGACAGGCGTGCAGGCTGGGCCCTCGTAAATCTGCAGTGTATCGTTTATCCACTAAACACCTCAGCAATGCTAAGTCACTGTTTATTCTGCAAAATCGCACTGTGTGTTTACCATGTGTTTAGCACTGTGCCGTGAAAAGACACAGTGTCCACCAGAAGAGATGCTTAGTGCAGCAACATACAGGAAATGACTGACTGAGGTGGAAAGCACCAAGATAGGATCTACACAATGTGCTCTGCGGTCCTGAGGCAGGGCACCTGCCAGACTCTGGCTAGTTCTGTTATACCCACAGAGGCTGTCGTTAAGGCAGGATCTGCTGCATGATGTAGGATACTTCCCATATCCGTGGGCCCCCCACCCCCAGCTTGGCTCCCCTATGGCTAGGGTCTTGAGGACTCCCTGCAGCAGTGCAAAGAATGATGTTGGTTTCTCTTCTTTCTCAAAGATTTCTCCATGGACAATGGCAGCTACAATTCAGGCTATGGAGAGGAAGATTGAATCACAGGCTGCTCGACTGCTTTCTCTAGAAGGTCGAACTGGGATGGCAGAGAAGAAGCTGGCTGACTGTGAGAAGACAGCCGTGGAGTTCAGCAACCAGCTGGAGGGCAAGTGGGCCGTGCTGGGGACCCTGCTGCAGGAGTACGGGCTTCTGCAGCGGCGGCTGGAGAACGTGGAGAACCTGCTGCGCAACCGGAACTTCTGGATCCTCCGGCTGCCCCCTGGCAGCAAGGGCGAGGTCCCCAAGGTAGCTTTTGGGAGCCCTGGGGTGGTGAACCTGAGGGTCCATACCAGTGTGACACTGGTTTCATGTGCCTCTGACCTTTGATGATGTGGCTATGTATTTTTCTGATCAGGAGTGGGGTAAGCTGGAGGACTGGCAGAAGGAGCTCTACAAGCATGTGATGAGGGGCAACTACGAGACACTGGTCTCCCTGGGTAAGCCTAACACACCCCTCTGTGAGGTGGGATTTTACAAGTTCCCAGAACTCTCTTTGTGATATGGTTGTTCTCATGTCAGTGGTGTGCAGATCCTCCCTAGGTAATCTGAGCAAGAAGACTCCTCTTCCCCCACCTTCCCATCTTCCTTCCTCATGTTGGGAGGTAAAGAGTCAGATATGCCCTTCTGCTTGACAAGAGTAACAGACCAAGGAAAGCAGTGACCTCTGTCCTCACTAGGCCCAGAGTATGGACACTTCCGTTTTGGCTGAGACTGGAGTTCAGGGGTGCTGGCAGCTCTGCCGTGCATTTTTAATCAACTCCACTGTAGCAGGGGAATTGTTCTCTTACCATGGATTGGGTGGCTTTTATGTAACATAGCACAGGGTCTGTTGAGAATAGAGTCCGCCTTGCCTCTCAAAACAGATGTTCTGTCTCTGCCCCAAAGCCCTGCTGCCCCTGCCTCTGGAGGTACTATTCTGAAAGACCCTCTTCTTAGAATTCCTTCCTGGCCAAGAGTATTTGGTGGGATGCTGCTTTGTTGACATGCTGCTGCTTACTGTGGCCTTGTCCAAGCTCTGCGGACAGATGACTAGTGGGGTGGAGTCTTTCACTTGCATTGTTGAATGGGCAGTGGCACCTTTCCCACCCTCTGGACTCTACACAAGACTGTTCAAAGACTTTGAGCAGAATGCCTACCTTTGAGAACTGCTGTTCTGCACCAATCAAGAAATTTAGTTTCTAGGCTGTTAGTGATTTTACAAATGCCTATCCCAGCTCTGATGAGAATGTGTCAAGATTAACCTCCTGTCTTTCCTCAGACTATGCCATCTCCAAACCGGAGGTCCTCTCCCAGATTGAACAAGGCAAGGAGCCATGCACCTGGCGTCGCACTGGCCCCAAGGTCCCGGAGGTTCCTGTGGACCCAAGTCCAGGTGAAGGGTTGGGAAAAGGTCAAGGACACACCAAGTGACCACATGAACACATAAGAGTAAAGGTCTGGGGGAGGTGTGACTTCTTTCTAGAGAGACAGAAAGTTTCAAGTCTAAATCTTTCATGGTTGAGTCATAACTCTGAGTTACTCAGCTGTGTTGTAGAAACTAGTAATTTCCGTCCTGGACATTGATAGCAAAGCCAGAAGCAGCATAGACTTAGAGGATGAGAGAAGAGGGAATGAGATAGAGTTAAAGACAAGCTTATTCAGAACTGTGCAAGGAGTCATCCAATCTTAAACACACTGGGAGTTTCAGAACCCATTGGCAAGCAGTATCGACCAGTGTAATGGGAATCAGGCATTTACTTCAGCTGAATGCAAATACAGAACACAGTGTCTCAGATTTCCCTGGAGCCAGTCAACACCTCTACATGTTTAGGAAAGATGGAATGCTGGAAGGCCACAGGGAAGACCTTGCTGGGTCCTTTGGTCTCCATTCAACCTGTGTCCTCCCTTGCCTGTCCTTGGGTTTATGTCCTTGACACTATCACTCAGACTTCCTGTGGGTTAACGCCTATGTGTTGTACATGTATACATCATGTAAGTTAGGCTTCGTCTCAGTCAGGTAAGGGCAGAGACAAATCCATAGCTGAGCACATGGCCAGTTTTCATTCACTCAACAGTGTAGTTGAGCGATGCATTTTGAGAGTCTTGTTGGTACCAAGAAAAGTGGGGCTGGGCGATGGTGGCGCACACCTTTAATCCCAGCACTTGGGAGGTAGAGGCAGGCAGATTTCTGAGTTCGAGGCCAGCCTGGTCTACAAAGTGAGTTCCAGGACAGCCAGGACTACACAGAGAAACCCTGTCTCGAAAAAAAAAAAAACAAAAAAACAAAACAAAAATGAAAAGTGGGCTAGCTGGATGGTGGAAAGGTGTCTATTGAGTTCTGTTCCTGGAAGAGATGGGGGACACATGTGGCCTTGACTTCCAAAGCCAAGGGTGAGAGGTTACTGGTATCTGGTTTTATTTCTCAATGTTTGTAACATGAACCAGTAAGGACCAAGAAACGGCTCGTTGCTATCCCTCACTCTCCATTGTCCATCAGAACCTGTCAGCAGGCTGCTCTCCCCTTCTCAGTCCAGTCCTCTGGGGTCCCTGTCCTCCTTTCACTTGTGATTAAGTTGGCCCATGCCTTTGTCAGGCCTCCTCTCTCCGCCTCCTATGATCTCCGTGGTGCTTTATAGGACCCACCATACACAGCAGTACATCCAGTGTCCTCCAATCTGTCCTGCTCAGGCTAAGCCTTGGCTCTTCCCAAGTGCTGCTGCCCAGCAGCTATTCTGTCCTCTGTCCTATATCCCTTTGACATTGGGCTTTCAAAAAGTCAGGTATCCTTGCTCCTCATCACTGACCCTTCCCCCCACCCTCCTTTCTGGAAGCCCTGTCTTGAGACCTAATATGTTAGACCTCTGAACACCTTGTCTTCCTTTCCCTCCCTATTCTTGCAGATTGCTCTATCCCTGTGGTGGCTTTACCCCCTTCACTGTCTGGGCACTGTCACGGTTTCCTTATTCCTTCCACATTTCTAGCATGGACTCCACAGATGTTTCCTGCTCCTGGTTCTTCCAGTCTTTAGAACCTCTGGTCCAACAGGTCTTCAGTCTATGAGACCTTCAAAGCCTTCAAAGCCTTCCTACTCTTCTCATCCTCCTCTCCCTGTGGCCGCCACTACACTCTCACTCCCCTGTGTTCACTCTACTTGACAACACTGTAATCCTGAGGAACTGACTGTCTGCTCTGCACCTGTACCCAGACAGCAGCCAGTGGCAAACCCAAACCTGCAGCCACTCCTATTCCTGACCATTTAGTGGGAGCTCCTCATCAGCCAGTAGTCACCAGATCATCTCAGTTCCCTCACAAGCTCAGAAGTTGGCAAAGTATGGCTGCTAGGCCAAACCTAGCCCTGTTTATATAGGGCTCACAAACCAAGAATTTCAGTTGAGTTTAGTATTAAAAGACCATTTTTAATTTTAAAAACATACTCTCAGGGACTGGAGAGACAGCTCAGTGGTTAACAGCATGGGTTGCTCTTTCAGAGAACCCAGGTTCTGTTCCCAGTAGCCACATGGTGTTTTAGAACCATCCATAACTCCAGTTGAAAGAGATCTGACACTTCTGACAACCTCAGGCATCAGGTACACATGTGGTACACATACATGATATATGGGCTGAACATTTACACACAGAAGATAAAATAAATCTGCCAGGCAGTAGTGGTGTGTGCCTCTGATCCCACACTCAGGAGGCAGAGACAGGCAGAGTTGTGTGAGTTTGAGGCCAGCCTGGTCTACACAGCAGTTCCAGAACAACATTCTTATGGCCCTCCAACTCGTATTCTGGCTGATGTGTGTCTGCTGCTCTGCAGCCATGCCTGTCACTCCACTTACCTAGCCACTCTAAAGACATTCTTTCTGCCTGGCCCTAAGCTCTGCTGCCCTATGCTACCTTCTCAAGGGCAGCAGACATTCCCTCTCTTGACCCCTCCCAAGATGGCCTCACCTCTCTGGCCTCTATTCAGGCTCCAGAGAGAGCATGTATTCTCTAAATCATCCCTTTTACCTGGGTGCCTCTTCCTCATTATGAGTTTGTCACCAACCATCCTCACTGTCATCCATTTTCTGTTATTACTGAATACCACAGACTAGGTCACTATACCCTACCTGGAGGCTGGAAAGTCCAGGTCAAGGGACCATACCTGGTGAGATCCTTCTTCCTGAACTACTCAACAAAGGATATTCCATTTGGGAACAGCAAGTCTTCTCCTTGTTAAAGAGCCACTCAGGTTATTACAGGGGATCCCATCCTCAAGACTTCATCTAATCCTGATTGTTTCCAAAGCCTCTGCCTCTAATACCAGTAACAGAGATCAAGAGATTAAGTTTCCAACACAGGGATTCCAAGGACATACCCAATCATACATAGCACTGCTTCCTGAAGTTATGTCTTTGGATACACAGGACACCTCCCTCTCCTGGGATTCCTGCCCCACCCCTGTTACCCTTCCCTTGCTGTTTCCTGTAGTACTGAGACCTTTCTAAAATGGTGTGCCCTTATCCTCACAGTCCCTTTCTCCTTCATAGCAGCTTAGTCTTAGTACCTGTGTCTAGCTGTGTGTCCTACCCTTGACTTCTGCCTGAATTCCCCACACCCCATAGCCATGGCCAGTACATCCAAGGCCATGGGGTAACCTCCCTTTGAAACCCATTCTTCCTCATTCTCCCTGGCTTCTCCATCCATCCAGCTATAAGCCAAAAACCCAAGTTCTCTAGTCCTCTACACACACACACACACACACACACACACACACACACACACACAACTTCTCTATAGGCTACAAAAGAGAATTTAAATTTTTTCCACTACACCTCTAACCCACTGGGGATTGAAGGCATGAAAATCAGAAACTCAACATCATCTTTGATTACAAAGCAAGTTGGAGGGATGGCTAAAAGCCCCTTCTCGAAAAGCACTTACCACCAAGACTAATCACCGGAGTAGGAGAGAACCAACTCACGAAGGTTCCCTCTGACCTCTATACATGTGTATGACGGCACTGGCACGCATACACACACACAGTAAAAATAGATGTCTAAAAAACTGGAGGCCAGCTTAAAGTACACGAGACCCTAGCTAAACACATTATTAGTAAATACTCCTGTCTTGGCTGGTTTGTAATGTCACCTCCAGCTTAAACCAGTTTTCTGCATATGCATGAGGCTGTTCCCAGGCTCTTTGTTCTATTTGTTGCTATTTGTCCGTCTCTACCAAGGCCACTCTTTCCAGCTGCCTCACAGCCTTAATACCTCATGTATCAAACCTGCCCTGTTTGCAATTTAAACTGTTCTATAGTATTCTCAGATCTTTGCTCTTGGGTATGCATTTTGGAATCTCTAAGTTCTTGATGTAATCCTGTTGAGAGCCTGGATGAATTGCATTCACTTACTTTATATAATTTATAGAGAATTGCCATCATTATAACTTTTGTCCACAGAAAGATTCATTTATTGATAGTTTCTTAGGTGATTGAGTAAGAATTTTTTTTAGACTTAATTTTGTGTTTTATGTAGTTGTAACAGGTATCCATGTGCTCTGACTTTTATGATGAGTCATCTGTTCAAACACCCTTTGATTTTTTATCCTTAAAAAAACAAGCTCATGAGTAGCCCTTTTGGCAGGACTAAGAATAAAACCCAGAGACTTGTAGATTCTTTTTTAAATTGTGTAACATGGTTTTTCTGCTTTGGCAGTTTGGCTAAGATGTTGTAAAATAGACATCCTTCCTGCTGATATACTTTTAGAGTTTCCATATGCATTGTAATTTTATGAGGTTGGTTGTTTTGTTCTCAGTCCTGAAGATCAAACTCAGGGCCTTGTTCCATGATGGGCTTGTGTTCTGTTGCTGAGCTGTGTCCCCCAGCCTCCTCTAAAATCTATCTGTTTACTTTCATTTTGAGATGGCATCTCACTGTGCTCAGTCTTGCCTTGCATTTGAAATCCTGCCTTGTCTGTAAAATGCTGGGGCTGTTACTTGGGTGGAAATTGCTTTGGGTTCTTGTCTTACAGGAAAGAATTCAGGAGAGGGGCTCAGTTTAAGCAATGACTTACTTAGCAAAGTGAAGCAAAAACGTAGTACACTTTATAGAGCACTAGGGGCAGGCATCTGAAAAATATCTTGCATTTGTTTTTGTAAGAGGTTATGAATATTTATGAGGTAAGTAGCATATTTGTGGGAAAGGTAACCTTTTCCCTCCCAAATCATGGTACAGTGGAGTACCTTTTAGGGCATTTCTTCCCATGATCTTTTTTAAAAATTTACTAAAGAGATCAAAACCATGACATCAACACTATTTTGAAGCCTGGGTCCTTGGATAATACAGACCCTTTTATCAGTTCACATATGTGGCAAATTGGGGAAGTTTTTCCCCCTTAGCTTTAATACAA